CTGTGGCATTTTTGCTCAGCTACTTTGGGCCTCCTGATGGGGTCTTGCTGTCAGAGACATGGATGATTCAGACCTGACTTCTTTCGACTCGCGGAAAAAGCCAAGACGGCGTGGACATGAAAGTCCTGGTCCGCCTGTGCCAGTGATGCGGGCTCCAGTTGAGCGACATTGCAGTCCTGACCCTGACAACACTCAAGGGTTTGGCAGGGTTTTGAAAACACCAAATGCATGTGTAAAGAGAGTTTGCAAAGTTGCCAAGACTCGGAACCAAGCTGCACGAGCGGCTTCCAAGAAGCCAGCAGCTAGGGCAAAGAAATCTGCTTGTTCGAAGCGGATGCCTCAACCGGGGTTGCGTAAGGGTGACATTGAGTTCCCTTCCGCTCCTGATTTGCAGATTAGAGGTAGCGTAGCTCCCTGGCAGTGGGCTGAAAGGTTCAGGGACCGTTTGCAAACTGCAAACATCTTTGAGACGCCACATGCCAAAGTTCAGATGTTTACGGAATTTTCTGGGTCCTCTTGCCCAGAAGCTTGTGCGGAATCGATTTCAGCGACGCTGTCCATGTCTTTCGATTTTGTTTCTGCTGGAGACATTAGCCAGCAATGTCGAAAGCTCATTATTGAAGCACGTCATTGCCTGAGTTTTTCCAACTGTTCCAGGTCCAGACTTGATATTTGAAGATCACAGGAATTGTTTTTCGAGGTAGTTTGGTTTGGTGCTGAAACTTGTTGGAACTTTTTGAGGTCCTGACGCCTGTGTTTTTGGAGATGTGCTGGACATGCTTCCACATGAAACCAGAGAAGCAGTTCTCAGCCCTGTTCAGGAAGAGGCAGGCTTTTAAACATTCATTTGATATGATCGTTTGCATCCTGTTCCAAACGCAAGGCGAGACTTGACCACATCACACCACTTGTGCAGGTGGCGATCACGGTTGATGATCTGAGGGCGCTCCTTGCTGTTCCTGCGGCCAGGAAGCCGTCAAAACGTTCATCGAGCCCCAATTCTTCTGCCAGTTCCAGTTCCAGCAGCTCCAGCTCCTCTCACAGTTCCATTTCTACCAGTAAGAATGTAGAGTCAGAAACCTTTCGCTTAGTGGAGTCCTTGTTTACCAAAAAAGGAGTTTTGAAAAAATCTATTGCGGATGCCCGCAAGGGTTGGACACTGAAGCACATCTCATCTTCGCAATCGTCAGGGCTTGGGGAAGCATTGACTGAGTTACAAACGTTCTTGAACAGCAAGTCTACAGGAACAAAGACCGTGGTATTTGAACGCAGGACCGTTCAATCCAAAACATAAACAATCACATGTTCACACATAGTGACATAGTTCCCACAATGTTCGTACAAAGTTCGTACAAAGTTCGTACAATGTTCGTACAATGGGAAAAAGTAGTTCGTACAATGTTCGTACAATGAGGAGGTAAAGTTCATACAATATTGTTCGAACTTATTCCCCATTATACGACCATTGTACGAACATTGTTCGAACTTTTTTGTTGCAGGGCATAAAACCACTGATTGTCTGGTTTCGGTTGCACACAAAGTAGACCCGACCATCTGTTTGAAATTTAGATGACAATGCGCACATTTCTGAAGTTGATCAACATGGTGAATCACAGCACCCAAACGTTCTAGGAAAACATTTGACGAGCTGAAATCCATCATCTTCAACGATGAAGTTGTCTTGCAGATGGACTGTTGGTGTTACAGATGCAAAAAGGTTTGCCGACGTGGTCCCAAACCGAAAGATGCTTACGATTTAGACGTGGGAGTGTTCGGTTCCCCTTGTGTGGACTCTCAACAAATTTGACATTTCAAATTTTGATTTGTGATGTTTTGACGCGTTTTATTTCCAAATCTCACGAAGCGAAGTCCAGCTTATGGCTTTCGTTGATGGCCCAGGATTATACGCCTTGGGGGCTACAGATGGGACTGGAGGGGCGCTCTATAGTAGCATTTCTGGTGATGCACCTGAGCACGGTCAGATGCATATGAATATCAGAATATCAAACAAAAAGCATATGTGACAGTTTGCTTGATTTTTGCGATTCCATTCGCAACTTTTGCGCATGTTCCCAGGTGTAAGATGATTGCGCAGAGCCGGTGTCGGGCAGCTCTGCACGAGAACGTAGAAGCATTTCCAACGGATTTGCTGGAAAACCTTGTCGGACGTTTGGATTTCACATGGGTACAGGGGGCCATTTAGACAAGCACCTTGCTTGCTCCACCTTGCATCACCTTGTTTGGATGCCATTCAGTCTTAAAGGTTTATGGTTGGACTAATGCATTCACAGCGGTTCCTGTGCAGACCTAAGGAAGCACCTACGAGAATGCTGGCCTGATTCACCTGGATCCGCGGCTGGCAGATTTTCCTGTGGCCAGACTCAGGAAATATCTTTTGCTTGTATTGCGCGATGAGTACAAGCAGCTCATCAACAAGCTTTAGCAAATTTGACAGACTTGCTGGAACAGCTCACCGACAGTCTTTTAGCTTCAGCAAACACAGGGGTTCAGTTTTTCTGACGTTTGACAAAAGCCGTGATTTTTGCAAGCCAAGGTTGTCCCAAGATCTGCAGAGTTTGGCGTCAGTCTGCCTACGCAAGAGCATGAAAGATTGTGACAGCAACATCTCGGACTTTTTGATGGTCACTAATGTGCAGCACGAGCTGCGGGACACGTACAGCAAACGTATTTTGCTTGGATTTGATTTAAAGCTTGGACGTTTTCTTTGCTGTTGAACAGTTGCTTTTTCCTAGATGCAAGAACTTGCCGGTCACAACCTGGGTGATTTCATATTTGTCTTTGATTCCTAGCGAAGGTGCTGGTGAGTATGATGAACGATTTCCAGATTGGGAGGTAGCTGATTTGAACCAGAGCGCCTTCCACCGTCCTAGGTATGGTGTGAAGCATGTCCCAACCCTCACAACGGGATGTAGCCGCATGCGCTTGCGCAAAGCACAGCGATATATCCATGGTACAGAGCTTTTAGTTCTTCAGGGATTGCCGGCAACTCCACAGATAGCGAAGGCAATGCGCGCATCTGTGGTTGCTGCTTCAGATTTGAGCCATAGGGCCAAATGCTTTGTTGCTGGCAACATGATGCATGCATCCTCAATAGGATTCATGCTTCTTTCTACCGTCCTGTATGTTCGCAAAGTCACAAGCTAGCCGGTGAGCGGACTAGCAACCAAACACAGTGCATTGCACGGCTTAAAAGCAGATCATCAGATGGTCACATGCTAGCGCGCTTGCGCAGTGTCAGCGTGACGTTTGGTGCAAAAGTTTCTCATGTGGTCGTCTGGAACCAGCTCCACAGAATGTATCCTCAGCTGTTTTCCACTCAGTGTGAGGGTAAGTGCCGCTGTGGAATTTTCAATTGTCTTCTCAGTGCTTGCCAGTCATGGCAGATCCCGGCATCACAATTGTGTGGCTAGTCTTCGTTCGGCTGTGTTGTCTCTCACACGGTAAGTATTTTTTGATTTTGAAGTTTGAAGGATATGCGCCAAGCTGCGCCCGCCAAAACTCTGCACGCTTAGGTGCATGGATTGCAGAGAGAAAACGCCTCTGGACCAAGTTGTTTCCTTTGGGAAACAGCACAAGTGCCAGAAGTGCCACAGTGCATACCGGTTTTGTTCCCAGAATGATCCGGAGTGGAAGTCAAAGTCACCGGAACTTCGGCACCATATAAGTGATGGTAGCTGTTCTCTGAGAGGCCGCAGTTTCAAAAAGAACTACTTTCAGTCAGTCATTCAGTTTCTCTTTTTTTGAAACCTCAGATGTTTACCCAGGACGAAAAGAAATCACTGATTTTGGCCAACCGTGATGAAGGAGGACGTGGGAGAAAACGTACTCTCAGGACTTTAGAGAGTGTTCCCTGACCCAAGTCATGCCAAAAACGTGGAACATTGATTTAGCATGGGAGCTTTGACTTGTTCGTTTGTCATTCCTATGTAGGGGCATTCTTTTCGTCACACGGTGCGTGGCCACTCATTCCAACCAGGTCGACACGATCACATCTCGTGGGACCCTAGCGAACGCTGACTACCTCAACGAGATTAGGTTCTTGGGCTGGGGTTTTTGGTGAACAGCAAGAGTATAGAGGCAAACGACCATTTTGTGGAAAGTAGTCCTCACAGTTTGTCTTTGAATTTTTACATTCATTGATTTCGGTATGGCTTCTGTCCTTGAGGTTTTGCAAGCGTGGTCGCAAATGGTACAACTGGACAGAACAGGAGGCCAAGGAACAGTGGTTGAAGGCCCTGAGAGACCCAACTATTCCTAAGGGAAAGGACCAGCTACTGGACTTGTATTCATGGAGTTCGTCATTTCGGTTTGCATGTGTTTCACCTTGGTTGCAGCACGGAAAACAAACAGACTTCACGAAGCAAAAACCAAGAAGCAAAATCTTGTAGCTTCATCTTTATTGTAATTCTTGTTCTTGCGTGTCTGAACGACAAAGCAAGGTTTGCTTTTCATGTTTCATGACAACGCATCAACGTTAGACATTGTCTTGAGGTTTGGAAATCAGACGGTGGCAGGGCTGTCATCGTTGTCGCGGCAGTCTGGGACGCAAACTGAGCACAGGAAATCCGTACAGGAGCTTTTTGTTGAGATCAAGAAGAGACCCTGCGCTATATATAAACCGTATGAACATGTATATAGGTCATTGGTTTCAACCGTCAAACTTTCTGAGCAAGAGTCGTTGTTCCAGCTCTGCTGGTAGATTATCTAAATTTCAGGAGATGAAAGACCACGTTATTGACCGGGGCGACGCGCAAGAACTCGAAGAAGTTCGAAGCAGTTGGGATCTTGGCAGTGCATTCTGAAACTTGTAGCTTTCCATCTCCAATCAGCCCCAAGCGCCTAGGCTTGGACTCTTCTCGCCTGGATGTGGAAATGAAAATCCATGACCTAGCAGGTGAAAACCTCAGCTTGACCCTTGACCCTTCTTGCCTCTAATAATCTAAGTGGACAATGGATATATAATTACCTCTTTGCTTGTGATGTGTTCTGAATTTTGTCTCTGCTCTGCTTTCGCTGAGACAAGACCTTCGCAGCAAATGCTTTGCCAGCATGGGCCGGGCAGCCGCACGAAACCTCTTTTGCTGCGCCGAAGGCCAAAGGCAAAGCGCACCCGAAGGCCAAAGCCAAGGCACTTGCAAACCGTGCTGCAGGTGAAACCGCAAAAGGGTCACGTCCCAAGGGAGGCGATCCAGAACTTGACATGCGTCGCATGTGCTGTTTTTTCTTGGGCGAAGGACGTGAGCAGCCTTCAGCAAATTAAACCTCAGCTTCCAACAATGAGAGCCCAAATGAGCCCAAGTACTGTACTTTTTTATTTTGACTAATTGTGTGCTGGTGCACGTTTGTGTCCTGAAAGGCTTTGACCCATCTTCCGGACATCTCCAAGTTTGCTTCACGGCAAGAGGCGCTGCTGAAATCGATCGGCCAAGCAACTTCTGCAGTGAAGCAATGCGAAGGGTCAGCTTTCAAAGCTCCGCTCAACAAGTTGTCCGTGGCCCACAAGTTGTGCTCTGCGATCTTCTCGGCTGTCAAAGCAGAGAACAAAAGCAATGATGCAGATCACAGTGAACAGAACGCGCCAGTGGTGGATTCTTCAGGTACTGAGGAGACGGCGTACTTGGGCTTGATCGATTACAAGTCACTTCCATCTGAGAGCGAGTTTGACATCCTGGCCGGGTCGGATAAGTTTGACTTGGAGATGGAGATGGGCTTGGCACAGGGACACAAAAAGTTCTCCCAGTACATTGCCACGCGTGGTCAAGAGTTTGCAGATCCAATGACCACCACCCCACTCCAGCGATTGAAGGATTGGGTCCACTGGTTGCGCGAATTCGAATGCACTCATTGTGGCCTAGCTGCTTCCGAGACAGGCCAGGGCTCCTTTCAGTTTCAAGTTTCAAGTCACAAGTTTCCTTTCAGTTTCAACTTTCCAATCATGGTGAACACAAGTACATCACATGCTTGAACGATTCAAGCCTTTTTTAATCAAATTCAACCGCGGCACCATGGTTCCGTCAGGTGAGCAGCCAGTCGATGCCATTCAACCTGCACCTCCCCGTTCAGATTGTGAAGGTGGCTCTTCCAAATTGACCATCCCTCTTGACTACAAGTGTTTGCCGTCCGAGGCAGAGATTGATGATTTGGGAGCAGTCGGCAAAATCGATTGGGTTGAGGAAATTCGTCAGGCCAAGCTTCATCCCAATTTCCCAGCATACATCAGCAACTACTCTGCGGAGGCTGCTGAAGGCTTTGAGTTCGGCAGTCCCGATGGTGACCAAGCGGAAGATTTGAAGGATTGGGTCAGGTTTCTTCGGCAGCTGGAAGCAGGCAAGGCACGTGACGTGTATTGTTTGATTGAGAAAACATGTACATGGACCCAGGTCACCTTTATAATGGATAGTAGTGCCTTGCTGACGCATGTTTCCCATGTGTCTCAGCGCAGGTCAGCCGATTCATCCTCCGGCAGACAGAGAGAAGCTCATGACAACAGAGAAGGTGGACTTGCCTGAGGCTGCCGGATTTGCTCCTGACGCCATTCCTGCTTCTTCGGCAGCTCCATTGGCCAACTCCGCAGAGAAGAGCGATGACAATGACCCAAAGAAGAAAGTTTTGATCGACTACGGCTGCTTGCCGTCCGATTCCGAATTCGACGCCTTTGCCGCAGATGACAAGATTGATTTTCACGAAGAGATTGATCGGGCGAAGGCCCATCCCCGATTCCCACAGTACATTGAATGCCTTGACCTTCAAGGTGTCGAGGATATGTTCGGCAGCCCCGAGGGAGACCCAGTGGATGACTTGAAGGGGTGGGTGTCGTGGCTACGTGAGTCTACGACAGGCCAGGAATGGATTCCTGATAGGTAGTAGTAGGGTGAGCAAAGACACTGGCACCCATAAGTTGTCATATTCCATTGTCTTGGTTTCATTACGCGCCGGCCGTTTGCAGGATGTTTGTGTGTTCAGATCCAACTTGCTACTGCTATACTTGCGTTTATCGTGTTTCTCAGTCTGGTTTGGTGCAGGTGAAAACGCGAAAGTGAGCCCACGACAGAACGAGGTCACCACCGCATTTGTGCGGGTGTTGGCACTGTTGTTGCTGCTGTTGTTGCTGCTGTTGTTGCTGCTGTTGCTGCTGCTGCTGCTATTGTTGGCGTTGCTGCTGCTGCTGCTGCTGCTGCCGTTGTTGTTGCTCCTGTTGTTGTTGCTCCTGTTGTAGTTGTAGTAGTAGTAGTTGTTGTTGTTGTTGCTGCTGCTGCTGCTGTTGTTGGTGATGCCGCCGCCGCCGCCGCTGCTGCTGCTGCTCGCTGCTGTTGCTGTTGCTGTTCTTCCTCTTCTTCTTGCTCGTGCTGTTGTTCTTGTTCTTGTTGCTGTTTTTTGTACGGGCTTGTCAGGAAGGGAAATCCCGCACTGGGCTCGCGGGCGTCACAACTTCTGACTTCAATCAGTAATACATACGTACTGTTGTTTTTCCGATATCAGAACAGTTTGCACGTTTGATCTTCAATGGTTCTGTCAGTAAAACTGAAAAAGAATCAGTGAAAACAAATGACACCGGACAAAATGCAGGCAACAAGTAGGTGTGTGTATGTATATATAGTTTTCATACATATGTAATTATATAAAAATTATATTATATATATGTATATATATATAATATATATATGTATATATTAAATATATATATATATATATGTATATATTATATATTATATATATATATTACATGTAGACATATACTCATACAATTGTATCATGGTTTTCTGAATTCTGTCGCGAACTTTCAGACATGCGACATGCTTTTGGCCACCGGCCGATTTTCCGAACGATTGCTCCATCCAGCCTGCAAACCTTTAATTGTTTTGTGTTGTCAACAATGCAGGTGAACAAGTTCTTTGCGCTGGGTTACCGCAATGACCCGGCGTTCAAAGAAGCGCAGAGCAAGCCGTGTCCAAAGGATGAGAACAAGAACGATTTTCCACAGACTAAGCGTAAGACAAAGGCTGCGAAGCCAGCCGAACCTGAACAGACTGATCCCTCTGCCCGTCGTGTCAGAAAAAGGGCTAAAACTCCGCCGTGACTCTAGTCGGGAAGTAAGTGACCTTGAAAGGATCTGAAGAGGCAACAGTTTTGATTTGATCTGACCGAAGGGCGATGCATGCAATCATTCTGAACAGCAGATTGCACCACGGACTCTTTATACCAAACAAACCTTTGCAGAGCACCGAAAAAAATGATGCAACTTTCCATGTCCGCGCTTGACTCGTTTGATTGGTGGGGATGGGTGATGAGTGTTTCACAGATTTTGGCTACGAAAGATTGCGGTTTGGTTTTGAAAGATTTGAAGCCATACTGGGGTTATCTGGAGTTTCATTACGTTTCAAGTTCATTTTTCTGGTTTGTTTCCAAACCACCCTTCTCTGTGTGGATAAGGCGTGTTGTGGTGATGACATGTTTTGCATTTTGTGGACTGATAAATGCCAGCTCTCACCTACCGTGAGGGAGAGAGGTTTTGCTGGCATGGGGGTAGGCTGTGCAACCTTGTTTTGTTGGCATGTGTTTCCCAGTGCATACCCCCATGATTAGGTAAGATTTAGTAATATAGATAGCATATTAATAAAAATCAAGTCAATTTTCTTTGTTTTTAAGAATAACCTGATGAATTTGACCTGTGCCAATTTTAACTTCGCGCAAACATGTAGTCGTAACCCCAAATCGGCCCAACGCCGTTAGTAATGGTAACCACCAGAGGTTTGTTCCCGATCGATTGGGGGATGTTCCACCTGAGTCTGGAGGGGGATTTATTCCTGATGCGACTGGTAATTTGCCTGGTTTGGGTACTAGTCAGGGCAGATCTGAGAATAGGGATGTTTTCTCAAGAAGTGAGAAGTGGTTGGGTCCTAGTCCCACTGTTGACTATTCAGCCTGGAAAACCCGCGAAGATGAGGTTTTGGGGTTTACTTCCTATGTTCAGGAACTGGTAGCATGGGCTAGCCAGGGATCTGTCCAGTTTGGGCGAGAGATCGAACAGTCGACTCACTGGCCGACGAGTATTGCGTGGAGCACCTTGGGTGTTGACCAGCAGTCTAGGGCTGTGAGACTTAGTGCCATTTTGAAGGCAACTTTTGGAAGCCATGGTAGGATTGCAGTCATGATTCAATCATTTCAGGAAGGGATTGACATTGTCCCGGGAGTCACTTTGGGTGATCCATATAGCAGTAGCAATCTGTACCTTGGAAATGGTTTCGAACTTCTTCGGCAGTTGTCCCACGAATTCAGTCTCCGTAGTAGAACTGAGGGTCTTTCATTGCGAGTGCAGTTGCTGAACAGGGTCTTTCAAGGACAAGATAGTTCAGATTTGATTCGCCAGATTGAGCTTGCATGTGCGAAGTACACACGAATGATTTCCACCTTGTTGGGTGACAGTGTTGGATTAGCGATTGGGGATTCTGACATGTTGACCATGCTGGTTCGTTCGTTGCCTAACGATGTAAGAAACTACTGTTTGATGCATAGTGGTGGGGAATCGTATTCGAGTTATCGACTTGCTGCGCGTCGATTTGAACAACAGCACAGGCTCTTCAAGGACTTGCATCTCCAATCTCGGAAGGTTGTTGCAGGCTTGAATCCTGCCACGTCGGTGGCTGAGGAAGAGGAAGGTGAAGAATCTGAGGGTTCGGGGGATCCTATTGTGAATGCTGCATTGGACAAGGACAAGCAGGGACCAAGATGCACGAAGTGCGGAAAACGTCATGACGTGTCTGCTTGTTCAACCAACATGGAGAAAGTCAAATGCTATAAATGTGGCAAGGCAGGTCATATATCGGTGAACTGTCGGGTGAAGACCGGCGACAAGGATGGTTCAAAGGGTTCTTCACCTGGAAAAAGTGGTGGCACTAATGGTGCCCCGTCAGCATCTAAGAAAGGTGTCAAAGGTTCAGGCAAAGGTACGGGAAAATCGGGTGGGAAGAAGGGCAAAATGTTTGCGATGGTCGATGATAGTGGCACTTGGTGGTACTCTGAAGGTTGGTACGATGATCAACCTGTTGCGGAAGAGGCGAGTGCGGAACTGGATGGCCAGCAAAAGCAAGATGTGCTTGTTTTGAGTGCCTTGGTTTCCTGTCCCGATGTGCCATGTTTGCCTTGTGAACCTTGCGTGTTTGACATGAGCTTGGAAGATGGTGATGGTTTGTACGTTGAAGATCATTCTGAGGAGTTTGACCTGTGCTTGAACAGTGATTTGACTTGTTGTTGTCTGAATTCCAACTTTCATGACATGCATGATTTCGGTGACATGTGGCTTGATCGTGATGATCTGGATGCAGGAAACTTGGAAGCCTGCTGTTGTGACTTGAAACCTTTTGTGCATGTTGGAATTGATTCTGGTTTTGAACTTGACCCTATTGATGAGAAAAATGAGCCCAATACGCACGGCACACATGGTGTGCTGACAGCACGAGAGTCGATGACTGAGTGTTTCGAGACTGAAGGGCACGTGGTGTCAAAACCATGTGAGATGATGCTGAATGGTATCGGTCCGGGTGAGTCTTTTTGGCTTCTGGATAGTGGTGCTAGCATGTCAGTTGTTAGCCGAGATGTTTTGAAACAGTTTCAACACTCCGAAATCCAAAACAATGTAGGGCCGTTGCAAGCTGCTAATGGAACTTCTGTTGATTTGGAAGGTAGTTGTAAATTGCTGTTGCAGATTGAGGTTTTTGACAGAGACGGAAATGTGAAACCAGCTGTCATTCCTTTGGATGTCATGGTAGGGAAAACGACATACCCAATTATCTCTGTTTGCAAGTTGACTCAGCAGGGTTGGGACGTGACATTTGGCAAGGACCATGTTCGGATGTTTCACAAGAAATCTCAACACGAAGTTAGTGATTTGTCGTTTTGGCATGACACACCATGGGTTCGTGTTGTTCCATATGAAGGGAATGATGTAGCCCTCAATGTATCTCCGGTGGTTGCGAGTAGTTTTTCAAAGGGGGACACTGTTTGCGCCTTGAGTGCAGACCAGATGGTGCAGCACAGACTCAGAGGACATCGGCCTTACGAGCCGACTTGCGAGGTTTGTCAGAGTTGCCGTGGAGTCACTAAACATTCCCGAAAGAAAACCCCAAAAGGAACCGAATTTGAGATTCATGCGGATTTTGGTTTTCTCAACAAGGATTTTGAATGGGTACCGGAATCTGAAGACAGTGAACGTGGGAATGTCAAGTTTCTTGTTATTCGGGAATCCTACAGTTCAAGCATTGGTTGTGTTCTTATGACTGGTGATCGACAAAGGGATAACCGCCAACTTCAGAAGTGGTTGCTTGAAATGGGTTTAGGGGGTAGCAAGGATCAACATTCTTTGAGAGTTGTCACAGACGCTGAATCTTCTGTTGGGAATTTCATTTCATCAGCAGGGTTGCCAATGGGTGTTGTGGTTGAAAGAGCCCCTCCACAGGGTCACCAAGCCAATGGGACTGCAGAGAGAACTATTCGGGAAATCAAAGAGGGTTTGAAGACGTTGCAGTTGGATTTTCAGAGAATGGGATACACCCTGGTTTTCAGTTCTCCTGTTTTGCAATGCTGTATGAACTATATTTGTTTTTCCCACAACAATTTCACGACTGTTCAGCAGTCCAGCCGAACGCCGAAAGACTTGGTGACTGGAGACAGAGCCAGGAACCATGTTTTTGCACTGTTTGGTTGTAAGGTTCTTGCAGAGCTTCCTGAATCAATCATGTCAAGGAATCCTAACCTGCCAAGATTTGTCGAAGGGGTTTACTTGCATCCTGAGTTTTCGTCAATGGGAGTTTGGGTTTCTGCGAGAATCCGTATTGGTTCAGAGATGGTTTATCAACGTTTTGTAGCCA